AAAACTGACAATATTAATGAAGACCTTTTCCTGCATGTGCCGATTCCATATATTATCCTTGTTATCGTATGATGATTTTTTTCTTGGTAATGAAATATAGAGCTCTGCTATTTATAGTATAAATGAATGGGTAAAGGAATATTCCCTGGTAGTTTATAAACAACCAACGGACTCTTGTGTTGCACAAAAATGCCTATATTATTAAACAGAAACATCTTATTGCTTGTTCTGGAATACATACAGTACTGCCATTTTTATTAATTATTCTTAAGTTTCAATCACCCATCTCTAATTTCCTATTCAAGAAAACATAATAAAACAGCTTTTTAAAAACTATAAATCAATTATATCTCGGCTTTTCATTGACATCATTATCAGAATTCTTGCATGATAGTTCGTCCTATTCCTTTCATTTGTCAGCTTCTGAAACAAGCCTGGCTGAACCCAACTTTGTCGTTTTAAGTTGCCAATTAGATTGGGGGGAAGGGGAAAAGAAAACAAAACTATGCTAGACGAAACAAGGACCGGTCCTGTGGGAACCAAGGTCATTCCCAAAGGTGCTGGAAGGAGGAGCAAAGATGAGTTGCAGAGCCTGCCAATTACTTTCATTGGGTGGCATGATTTATAACAAATAGAAGGGAAGGTGAATGTTACATTTAGTTACACTGAATCTCTAGGAAAAAATTTAGAGTTGGTTTCACTTTTGACCATGCCGATATTATATATCCAATAAACATGTGCTTTGAGGAAACTTCAAGCCTCAGAGTTCTGCTTTATTTGGTTTCATTAGTCAGAATCTTGACATCATTCTCTTGGGAATATTTTATTTATTTATTTATTTTATCTAATTTATATAGTTGTCAATCACTCAATTAAGTGGCCCTTGATAATACCATTGGATTGAAGACAACACAAATATGCCATTTCCGAAGAAATGCTGTAGCTGCATCCAAATTCTTAGAATAGGACGATGTGATAATGAAAATGGTTTCAGTATCATCCTTTTGGATAAAAGTGATACCAATATTTCCTGCAGATTAAACACATCTTCTACCTGTTTTATTTTTGTGAAGCAATGCTATAACTTAAGTCACAAACTAGATATGCCAATGTTCTTATCCTTCATTTAAACAAGTATTTTCTTAGTATGTTATACTTAGTATAAGTATTTTCACTTATCTGCTATAGCTATTAGGAACACAAACTGATTCTACTCTCTATATTGATTTATCTTCAAATATAAGATGAATTTACATAAATACTTCAACTTCATTACTTATCCTGGTGCGGATGGGTTTTAAAAGCATTTAAACATCATTGAATGCTATGAAATAATTGTACGATGTGCTGAAGCAGTATAGCTTTTAATTCATTTATATTGGAACATAATATTGTTATGATTTTAACCATTTTGAACTGAGCCAGATCACCCATGGGCACTACCAACATTTCTGGCAATTCTGCCTTGGCACGCATCAGGCTTCCTGCTTCGTGTTGTAATATTTTTATTATTAAAATGGGAAACTAGAATAATACAAAGCACCAATCACAATCTACTATACAGTATTAACCTTGTGAACTCTAAAGCTTCTTCCTTCCATTATGTATTTAAGAGGGGCAGTGATTAATAGCTATATGTTACTTATATGTAAGGGTGTAGGTTGTATATAATGTTTAAATGTATGTTGTGTATGTTTATACTTTGAGAACAAGCAACTAAATTTCATTTTTAATGTGTGCCATTGTGCCCACAGTAAAAAATTACAATAAAGATTATCTATCTATATTCCCAATAACACTCCATACAGATGTTAGAGGAATTGAAAATGAAATGGAAAATTACCTTCTAATAACCTATCTTTCCTCCTCCAGGAAAAGGTGGTGAAGATCAGAAGTGTCTGATCTCCAGAAAGCAAGAGACAGCAATGATCCTTTAGCTTTTGGCAAATAGATGTTTTGTGATTACAAAACATGCCTCACTAGCTGTTTTGTGAGAATAGTGGTGATGTATTCCCAAAATTTCAAATGTGTCCTCTAGCTGCAAATAGTTGGAAAATCCTTCTAAAGCAGTGCTTCTCAACCTTGGTATCTTTAAAATGCATGGACTTCAATTCCCAGAATTTCCCATCCAGTTTGCTGGCTGAGGAATTCTGGGAGTTCATACATCTTAAAGTTGCTAAGGTTGAGAAATACTTTCCTACTATATGCTGCTCAAGATTTTGTTCCCTTTTCAGTTTTTCTAACGTTACTGGGTTTGTACACACAATGGAGATACAATGACTCAGCTGAGATGCCATGAATTTTCCTTCTTCTTCAAAATGGTGGAAACTGCATACAAGGCAGCAGGAGCTAGGAAATATTTTTCTGATTAATTTTGAGCCTCCCTGAAGATTTGGGAGAACTACTCCTTTTCTGCACTATGCTGAAAGTTGATTTAGAAAAGCACAAATAAATAAAGAGCCAAGTAATCCTTATCCTCAAGATTTAGGATCATGAAGCACAAATGAATTGTAATTATAGAAAATTAATAAAATACTTTTAAAAAAAGGCTTAGGATCATAGTGGTCCTTCTTTAAAAATTGTCTGAATTTATTTGTATAACAAACTTTTCCTGAAAGGGGAACATATTCCTTTCTTTCCTATTACACATATCATATGCACACAATTTTTTTTTCTATCTGCAGTTATTTTTACTTATACAAGGAACTACCACTAAATCATTATTGTGCCTTGAAAGTCTATTGCAGGTTCGGGATTTCATGAACTAAAAAGCAATAACAAAATTAAAAGGGGCAAAAACAGTGAAAGGTTGGATCTGTGCAATGTAAAATGTGCATTGTTCATTTCTTCGACAAGTCTAGTTTATTTTTAATTATTCATAATACTTCACAGTACACTAATAAATACTCTAGAGTATATTAATATAAGTGATGAAATTCTTGTAATACAAAACTGCATTACATGGTTTCTAGCATTAATCTCATGGAGTCCATAGGGGGTATTTTTGTATGTAAATTAGCTAAATGCAGATGATCAGGGCATTAATGGAAATGTCTGAACATTTGTTAAGTGTTGCCTTGTTCATATCTGCAAGCACTCTGTTCCATAGACTAATTAAAAGGAAGAAAAATTATTTTCCCAAGATTTCTGCATTGCATTCTCATCACATTACAAAAGCCTGGATTCACCAATGAAGTCCCAAGGACGCTTTTTGTGTGGCGATCCTTAAATTGCATTGGGGAAAAGTTCTCCATGCTATTCTGTTCATTTTTATGCAATATATTTCACAGGTGTAATATATTCTGCTATTCCTCAAAACTACAATCCCAGGCATTCTTTTCATCTTGCTTGGCACTGGAAACTACATAACATACTGTAACCGAGAACGTGTCGATATTCACCATGAAGAAGCCATTGAATTTGAAGGCACTTGGTGTAATGTTGCTTTGAAAATGAGAAAGCTTCCACTAGATCTTGAAATCTGAAGGAACTGCCAACAAATGTTATTGTATAATCGGTTTATTTTGCCCAAAAGGTTTTAGTAGAGCTACTAAATGAAATGTTGCCTTATATTTCTGACGAAATCCGCCTTATATTTCTGACGAAATCTTCGTATGTTCTGAGTAAATGGGCAGCAGGGTTGACAGCGTCCATGTTAGCAACCTGTAATAGGAACCAGTTTGTTCTATTTACTGAAACCTGGAACATTAGAGCTAAAATAAACCTCTCAGTATGGAATTAAAATCTCAGTTCATCATAGGTTATTCAAGATCAAACCAATTCCCAAAGTTCAACATGTGTGATATTTATTGAGTCTGTATATTAACCTTTTCAAAATAAGCCCATTTTTGCTTCAGCACAGGCCTTTTCACTAAGCTGTGAATAGGAAGAACCCAAGTGAATACTATGGCATTTTTGAAATCTTGTTTATACAACATTGCACTAGTCTGCATTCTTTAGTTACAGGTGACTTATTTCAGCTGGAAGTTAATTTTTCACAGCAAGATTGTTGGGAGAGAAAAAAAAAAACACCTGAATGAGCTTGTGAAATAAATGGATTTAAAAAAAAAACCAAATACCTTTCCCAGTTTCGGTGTAAAGGCAAATAGGGTTTTTGTTTTACAGCTTCAGCTACATCATTTAAAATAACCTTTGGAAAAATAGGCAATTGTTTTATATGCCATATCCTTAAACCAGTAGTTTTAATCTTTTTTACTTAAACTATGGGTGTATTTTAGCCATGATGGTAAAAAGAGAAAGGTTTACATGATGTCTTCTTTCTCAGGGCTTTATGAACTTTCATTTTCACCATTCCCCACCATTCCCCAAGCAATTATCAAAAGGAACAAGTAAGAGTGAGAGATAGTCTTCACAAGGATTATTTAAGGGAACATTTGGAGCACACATTGGAGAATAATTTCAGCACTTTGTTGCTTCCTTATTTATGTATTTAATTTGTATCCCATATTTATCATTTTTACAAACAACTCAAGACAGCAAAGCAAACACCTTCTTCCTCCTATTTTTCCCCACAATAACAATCCTGTGAAGTGGGTTGGGCTGAGAGAGAGTGGCATAAGGTTACCCAGGTGGCTTTCATAGCTAAGGCAGGACTTGAACTCACAGTCTCCAGCTTTCTCAGCTGGTGCTTTAACCACTAGATCAGACTGGTTCTTCTTTCTTCCAAACCAGCAGTTAGTAATCTCAGTTCTTATTCTTATTCCTTCAGTGTGTCTCTAAAAAAAATCATTTGTCCCTGCAAGGGTCTGTTAATAGAAAGTCTAGCTTGAAAATAAAGCTAATGGAGTATGTACTGAAGTACCCATGCACAAGGATATGGTAAATTGGCCTGTCTGGTTTCCTTAAAAGGGGTTCCTTAAGATCTTTTCCCACAGTTACACCCTTGTACACTCTTGAAGAGATTGATAAACTCTTTGATATTACTACAACTACTCTTATACTCAGGGAAGAAGAAAATTCTCCTTTATAAATTTATCCATCTATTAACAATATGTGTGAAAAACTAAAGTCCCATACAGAATGAAGATGCTGATTTGAACAGTTTTTTATTGTTATTCAGATTAAGAAACTAATGAGAGTTTAAGACATTGAGAAAAAGAGAAATACCAAGAATTCTCCAAGCAGAAATATACATCCAGATACATGCAACAAGTATAACAAAACCTGCTTCAAGATACACTGACATCAAACCCCCCAAAAACTCAGCAAAATGATCCTAATGCTGCCAGTCCACAGAGCCAGAAAAGTTGGGGACCGCTGGTTTAGAGCTATCATTTCTTGGGATGAAAGAATAATGGACTATTTTCAAGTTAAACTTCAAAAAATCCAATTGAACTTCTTCATAGGCCACAGTCCAGGATTGAATTTGGTGTCTTTTCTGATGACTTTGATCAATAGAAAAATATAACAGAAAAGCAAAGGTCAAATGTTAGTCCTGATGACTATACAGATATAAACATGCAGCTTTCTTGGCAACAGTAAAGTACCTCTTCTGAAATGGTCTTCCTCAAATATATATTTCACCTTCCAGTATATCTATAACTTTAATATTCCTAGTAGTCTCCCATTTAAGTATTAACCAGATCTGATGCTTTACTTAGTTTAGTTAGTTTTTGAGCTTAGAAGAAAGTCACCTGCTATCTAAAAAAGCCACTAGTATTTATATCTCAGTCTGGAGAAAAATAAACCTGTTTATCTTTCTAATATCTAATATTTCTATCTATCTATCAATCTATCATCTATCTACCTATCTATCTATCATCTATCTATCTATTCAATTTACATGGCCGCTTGTTCACTTACAGCAACTCTAAGTGGCTTACAACCAATAAAAATATAGGAAATTTCCTAATATAGGAAATTTAAAAAAATACTATGCGTGTACTGTTACTGAATCCTCCTTCCATCCTATACTAAAATTCCATATTTGTTAAAAACAGCATCAGCATAAATTACTGAGGTTAGAAATTTATTTGCATTAAGAAAATAAAATACAAAATATGTAATATTTTAACTTTATGAATAAAATGAAAAATTATGAAAAAAATAAAAGAATATATATATTTTAAAGGGAAGAAATTGATTTGTATAATGAAAAGGAAAGGAAGAACATTGCTTCACTACATCTTTAGATTGCTACTGATCTTGGCTGATACCAGGTAACTCTAAATCATTTTAAGAAAATTCTTGCCAGTCTGGAATGCTTATCAATGCCATAACAAGTAGATATTCAGCTCAGATTGCTGGCTGCTATGACCTCCCATTGGACAGTTTCCCTTGTACAGTGCCCTCTCAACTTTCTGTGCCAGAAAAGCAACTGTGAAATTATTCTGATGGAAGATCTTAATGTATTCTTTAAAAAATAATAATGCTGTTTACAAAACTAAAGTATGAAAAAGGACATATATAACCACAGAGCAACCAATTTTAAAATATACCGTACTTTTTAGGCTTTTTCAGAACTTTCGCAGTGTTTCTCAACCTCAGCAATTTTAAGATGTGTGGACTTCAACTCTCAGAATTCTCCAGCCAGCATGCTGGCTGATATAATAGTGTCCCGATAGCATAAAGGTTGTAACATCTATCTGATCTGTTGAAAGTCATTGGTTCCAAGCAAGGCAAAATTATCCCTATTTTTGTTGTTAATTACTATTTTTGCTTTCCCTAAACTACTTATTTTTTAAAGCCAGATTGCTTGTTCATCATTTCATCTTTTTATTGTCACATGAGGAAAGGCTCACTGTAGCTCTCTAATAGCCCTAATAAATAAAAATTGCAAATCACCTAGCACAATATTTATCTGGAGACACAATGCACTGGTGAACTGATTATAAGACAAAACACAAACAGATGAAAAGTGGGAAGCACAGAGAGTAAAAAATAATGATTTTTAAAAAATTCTGCTGGGTTTTGAACCAGTGACCTTCTACAAGTCAATCAACTATTACAACTGCTATGCTAGCTGAAGCTGTTGCAGAGATTATCAACACAAACCTGGAAAACAGAGAAAGAGGTTGTTCTTAATCATGCCCCAGGATGGCAGCTGTTGAACTGTGGGAGGGGGTGTTCTTGTTACTGCAAGAATAGCCAATTAATTCAGGAGTTACCTAGAAGAAAGTAAGCAGAGAAACTAGTTAACTCACACTTCCAGAAATTACAAGTTTACCAGAGCAGCAAAACAGGTAAAATGGCCTGTGGCGTGAGTAGAGAATAATGTTATCTGTTGTCTGGGTAACAGAAATGTTGGTAGCTTGTTCTTTAAATGTGGTAACCTTGCAATGGGGATATGTTCAGAAACAGGACAGAAAAAAATTGAAGATTGAAACAATTTGCAACTTGAAATATGGCTATAAAGAAATGCTGTGTGTTTTATAAAATACTGTTTTAACTGCAGAATTTAGGGAAAATGTATTAGAAAATAATTCCCTGTTGCTGCCAACTTTTAATTTGTTGCTAATAATAATCCCAGAGCAAGAGAAATGGAATTTATTTCTGACAAAACATACTACTGTTTCCAAAATTTCCATGGCAATTTATCCCCTGAATGCACGGATTTGACTGATGTTTTCAACATGCAGTATATTATGAATGAAGGAGAGGTTTGAGGAAGGAAGAATACCTTGTGTGACACATTTTATTTTAATGCTGTTCAGTGTATTTGTTTTTTTCTGTTAATTAGTTAAGTAATTAGATGTAAGAAATAAATAAATAAAATCCTTAAAGATTTTAATACTTGGACAGGTCCATAACAAGAGTCGTAGTCCCTTGGATATTTGAACCCCTAAGGTATTGAAGATATTAAAATCAGTGACTTACATTGTACCTAGAAAGGACTTAGCATACAGCCTACATTTTTTAACAATATGATATACTCCTTGTTAGTGATCCAGCTGACACATTATGCAGCAACTGCAGGTTATTGTATTCACACAGAGTGTGGTACAGCAGCCTGACTATGATATAAGAAAGGCATGCATAATGATCAGGTCAGAACACTTACAGCAAACAAACTGTATGAAATTGAACCGACATACTCCTTGCCTCTACATCAAAAATAGCTGAAGATTGCTCTTGCAGAGTTAATTTCATCTTATCCATTACTCCAAATAATAATATGTTTTCCGTACATATTAAACAATATAAGGAACAAAATGAAACCCCCGTTGAAAATTAAAAGCCAAAGGCAGATGTGCTGAGTGCTAATTCCCGAGGGTCATGTTCTGGATATGGACTGACCAAAAGAATTGGAAGCTTTGCAAAACAATATCCCCAAGGCTTAAACCTACTAGATAATTTAAGAAGATATAGTAATTGATGTTACTGAAAGCAGAAGTTAGATCTAGAAAAACACAACTTTTCTAGCACAAATATCTTTTCAGGGCAACAAATCTCTTCTTAGTTCCATTTCCAAAGAAAAGCTTTGGAATGCCCCTGGAATTTCTTGGCTGCATATTCTTAATCACCTCACAGTAATTTTTGAGATGATCATGTACTTTCTCAGTTGTTCTTAGTTCTCAGTTCTGCTCAGTTCTCAGAAATTGCTAATAACTTCCTTTTACTGGGAAGGTTATATCCTTTCCATAAGGAAGCATTTACACGATCACTTTATTTAAGGCCAATTGCACGTGCATGTACACACACATCAACACCCAAGAGTACTTTAAGCCCTAAGTCTATGAGAAGAATTGCTGGAGGGTGAGGAGGAAAAGTTGAAATAATAATGTAGAGTGGTGGATTAAGTATTGATTATGGAGAGGGACAGGTCCCCTACGTTGAGCTCTGAAAAGAAAAGGCAGGACAATAAATACTCTACTTTTGTCTATCTTTTAGAGGAATCTTAGCACCCATTCCATTGTAGACTGGCCAACCTATCCACCCAGTATACTTTGGAAAGGGAACAAAAATGGTTGTCTTAACCTTTTTTCTCACATTTTATATGGTCCCAGACAGTAGTCAATCATTCTTTTTCAGAGGTTAAAATTACTTCAGCTTCTTCTAGCTAGAAGGCCTGCCTACCAGCAAAGAAGGGAAAGAAAAAAATTTAAAGGAAGCCCTCAGAACCTGTGCCTATCCCAAGTGAGCCTTCATCAAATCCCAAAAAAAGACCCAGCAGGAGCTCCTCCATTACAGGCAAAGAAGAAAACAATAAATGAAACAATGTAGTTATTCCATACATTGCAGGAATATCGGAAAAGCTCAGGAGGATCTTCAGCCAACACAACATATGTGCACACTTCAAACCCAAGAATACAGTAAGGCAGAAGCTTGTCCACTCCAAGAACAAAATACCTAGACACAAACTGAGCAACGTGGTTTGAACGAGGAGTCAAAGTGGCCATCTGTGTCAAAATTGAACAGCCCTCTCTCAACAGAGGGGGAGGAATACGACATCATCTATCTCCAGTCTACAACACAGTCCTTTCAGCAGTTCCAAGAAAGCTGCACACCCATTTGTACTACACAGGTGAACCTGAGGATACAGATAAACTTCCAGATGGCATCAATGACTCTCTAAAAAAATGCAAATGACCAGCTGTCTGCAAGGAATATAAATCCTTCCATTCCCCACCATCCACTCAGAGCTGAAAACGCTTCTTGAATGAAAAGTGAAACATCTTTAAAGAAAAACAAGAAAGTGCAGTTGCCTCGTGAAAAAACATATTTGGGACAACTATGACCTGGATGACTGAGAGTACCATAGACACTTCTGCTAGCTATTTCACATCTTTTTAATTTGACATGAAGTATGTTGAAGAGGGACCTTTCCTGGTATTTTCCTAAGAATGTAGCATTTATTTTCAGTAGTAAAAAGGAATGAGAGAGAGAAAGCACTGTCATTAGAGAAGCATGCATAATTCTTATTATTTTCTTTGACTTACAAATGTGGGTAGCCATATTATTACTGGTCTCAGATATGAATATTAAATGTATAGTGGCAGTGGCAGTGTAACATTAAATAGGGTTTCTTCATTTCTGCTACAATATCTGTACAAGGAGACATGTAAAGTTCACAAATATTGATCAGGTGGAAATGCTTATATCTATCACCCTGTTCCATTGTAGAGTAAATAATATACTAGTACAGAAAAGAAGTAAAGAAATATTATGCTTAAGAAATATAGGAATGGGATAAAAAGAAAGGAAACACAAATTGTTAACTATGCTTCTCCATACCTTTATTTTCTTATTAGACCATCAATGCTTCCATTATATTCTTATTTTATTACTTTATTCTTATCACTCTTTTTTGAGGGTCTCCTTAATTCTATTTAGCTCTCTAAATTTTCTTAGTCTTCCTCATAAGCCATTTACTCTTTTTTATATTTATGCTGCAATTCCATCATCATTCTATGTCTCTAAACCAGTTTGGTCCAGTTCATTCATAGCTTATTTATTCTTTGCATTATCTCTTCTTATTTTACCGCACACCAGTATTCCATCCACGTTACATTCAGTCTACATTCATGTTTCTCACAACATACAGTACACTACTTTCTTTTCCGTATAATAAAATGGATGGAAGCACACTTTTATACACAACTATTTTAAATTCTTCTGAGAAACATTTATTACTTACAGTACAGACCATATACTACTATCCATCTTTTACTTGCAGTGGCAGATCTTAAAATTTCTCTGTCTGTATTCTCCATATTTAGTAAAATAAAAAATATTTTTCCAGACACACAAATTTATCTACTTGTTGTCATTTATGCATAACTTGCAGTTGTTTGCTCCATTTCTTCTGTCAAACACAATTACTTTAGGCTCTAATATATTAATTTTCAGTTCCATGTTTCCCATTTTATCATGCAACATAATGTTTTCTGCTAATCATTCCGTTTTTCACCGTGCAATACAATCCCAACTGAATGCAAAAATACATGTGCGGTTCACATCGTCAACCAACACACTTATAATTTCACCACCTTCCCTGTGTACAGGATGTTATCCACATAAATAGATTAAGCAGCAAAAGGGCTTCACGTATCCTTGTCTTACTCTTTGCTTTGAGCTAAACCATTCACTAAACATTTCATTTATTGTCATGTCTATATTACTTGTCTCTGTTATTGTTCTTTTCACACAGGCAATTTTTAACTATACATTTATCCAAATGTTTCCATCATTCTATTCAACCAAAGTATTTTTATGTGTTAAAAAACTTACAATATTTTTTTCTTGCATGTTTATATTTTGCAGCAATTTCAAAGAACAAAAATATGTTCTGCATGTTTCTCTTTGTCAAAGGGAGATAATACCAGCTTTCTTCCAATTGCCAGTCACAAATGCATTCTTCACATACACATTAAACAAACAGCACAACCACTCCACATTTTATTAAATTCTCAAAGGGCACTATCTAGCTTTACAATTTTTCAACATTCTGACATCGTACATGACTTTATTTTCACTCATTTTTTTCTTGGGCATTAAATGTACAAGGTTTTTTTAATTCTTTTGTCCAATATATCCCTGTCTTTCACATAGAAACTTTAAAGTATTTCTTCCATCATTCCCTTACTTCAATTTCATTCCAAATTTTATTTTGAATCTCATTCATTCTGTTGGAAATTCCCTGATTATCCCTCTGAACATTATTCTCAGGGTTTTTCTTATTTCCATCAACGTCATTCTGCATTTCCTCTGCTTCTTTCAACTGTTCCTTGCTCTCTTTGACAATTCTTTGTAACTGTCTTTTTCTTTCCCTGTACATGATGCAACATATTTCTCTCATCCTCTTTTTTTTGCAGCAATTATTCTCTTTTGTGCAATTCTTCTTATCCACAATGTCTTCAACATAACATTTAACAAGCATGCTTTTTCATACTTTCCACTAACAACCATGATTCTATTAACACACTTCATTCATTTCCATTTTTTTCTATGAACCTCTTGACACCGCCCAAAATATATTCAGTACCTCTCATCACTTTTGTATTACTAATTCTGTCAGCCTTTCATCACAATCAGATGAACTATGATTTTAGATTAGGGTCATTATTTTGTTATGTACATATTAACAGACTTGTAATCAAACAACTTATATAAAATAAACAGACCTTTTTCTAAAAACAAATATATTAATCGTTCTCATTCACTTCTG